TAGTGTGGCACTCAAAAACTGGAGTAAAATTAAATTAAAAACAAGAACAAAAGTTAAGATCTCAATAGAGAGATGTGTCATGTTTATTGTAAGAACACAACAGCAATTATAAAACAATGCCATTTCTTCTACATGTGGCCCATAGAGTCAATGCAACCCCAACCAAAATCATTCCAGGGTTATTTTTCTTTTTGGAAAAATTGACAAATCTAGACTTTTTATGACCATGGCAAAGGCTGAGAATAGAAAAGGTGATTGGAGGTGAGTGAACTTGTGCATGACATTCACACTCTGCTCTAAGGATGTTATAATTAGACAGTGACAAATCAGAACAGGAAAATAGGCAGAGGTCACTGAACAAAGAGCCCAGAAGACACCAGCTCAAAAGGTAGCACAGAACCGTGGGCGAAGGCTCGTACTATCAAGAAATGCTACTACATCACTTGACAATATTTATGAAAGCAATATGTTAAACACCTGTCTGAGCTTCTTTTCCCACTCCATTCCCCTAGACTCTAAGACACAGATTAACCCCAAATCAGTAACAGTAGATGAGCCTATGTATAGGAGGAGACTTAGGACTGCGCCATTAGCCATGTGGTGCACTAGAGGCGCATATGGATGTAGTAATGAAAGGGCAGTGAACTATGCTGCTAGCCAGGCCCACTTTTGGGCGTGGCTAGAGGTGTGTATGAAGGTTCTTATAAAAGACTGTGCAGCAGAGCCACACTCTCTCTTTTCTGCTTCCGGTTCGGTGGCGGAAAGTTACTTGACTCATCTGGGTTGCCCGTTTTCTCTTGTAAGTAATTTCTACAATAAACAGTTACCTATACCCTCAACAAGTGTGCCATTTATAGTTACAGCAATACCCATGAGAAAGTCAAAGAACACATTAGGGGTCAATTCTACCCTCTGGATCTCAGGAATCAAACACAAGTCAACTGACTTTGCAACAAGTGCTTTATCTAAACCGTTTGCTGGCCCACATATTTAAGATGTTTTCCTTTTAAAAATACAAGGATGGCAGAGTGGGTAGAAAGAGTGGGATTGGACAGAATAGTACAAAACTTGCTAAGAGGAGAGAGATGAAAGACTATAAAAAAGCTACTGTTATGTAGGACCCATGGACCATTGCAGAGTGACAGGACAGGGTTACAGGGTTAGGATGGGAGTTAGTGTGGTTGGCTAGCCTCATTAGCATCTGTTTGAGATCCTTGGATGGAGGGGAGGGAGAAGATCAGGTATGGCCACAGACAAGGAGGACCAGGTTGAGGACAGGTCCTTTGTGGGTGTGACTAGAAGACTTCAGGTGGACCATAGGCACCTGCAGACTCAAGAATGCAGACCATGACATGCAAGGGCCTCCAAGACCCAAAGAATATTTCTATACCCCGAACAAAGCCATTCTTTTCCATGTTCCTAAAAACTTTACAACTACAAAGGTAAAGCAAACATTTATCTTAGAAATAAACAATAAAAACTGAATCTAAGTAGGCAAATATTTTGCAAGCATGGGCCTGGCCGGCTTCGCATTCCTGCTGTCTGGCTTCAACCAGGCACTTGCTAGAACTTGGCCCTGCTTTTCTCCATGCTCAGCTCAGTGACCTCCCAGTACATTCCACACAGCCCCACCTCTAAGTTCTCCAGTTGTCTCCTCCACAGTGACCTCCCCTGCCACCGGTGACTACAGTCCGTCAAAAGTCACACTGCCGGTTCCACCTTGACACACCTCCTTCCCAACCCTTGTACCCATGTCCTGCTTCCTTTCCTAAACTATTCTGTCATAGGAGACATATGAGTGGCCTGAGGACTAGAACAGGGGAAGTATCAGAAAAACTGGCGACCAGCTGGGGGTGGGAGCCAGAGGAAAATTTAGGCTGAGTTGCAAGGTTGGCTGGCTTGATCAGCTAAGGGATGAGTGAGAGAGTCAGAAGAGGAGAGTCCAAGCCGTGTTTCAAGGTCAAAGATGCCAAAGTCAGAGGTCAGAGCACAGGCTATCAAGACATGGCATAGAGGCTCCCTGCTGATAAACTGGTGTCACATGGTGCTGGGTTCAAGTCCCAATTCTAGTATTTATCAGCTGTGTGACCTCAGGCAAGGAAGGCACTGTCCTCCCTGGCCTCGTTCTTTTCTAGTGGCATGCCTGTGAGCTTCAAGAAAGGGATAAAGAGATGAAATGGAGGATGTGGGGTGCGGTGAAGGTCCCAGGCCAGGCAAGCCTACAGGTTTTAAAGTGTTAATCCTCTGTGTCCCAAATACCTCTTGAGCCTTTCAAAGGTGGAGGCCACCTCTTGGCCTAAGCTTGGTTCTTGGTACCCAGAAATAAGTGAACATTCACACTTGTGTGCTTTGGGCTATCAGCCCCATGAAGCACTGGCTACTTTTCTAAGCAGTTTCTGCTCCTTCTTGTGTTGTTGGGGTAATGGAAATTATCCTGAATGACAGTCCTGTAGCTTATGGAATTAGCCAACTATGGTTGAAGATCAGGTCCTAGGCAGGGGAGGAGCTATCAGCATCCATTTTAGTGTCCTTTTACCGCTCTCTTGGCTCAGGATCCTCACCTTCTCCCAGCAACCCCCGCTCATTTTCTCAGCAATACTTCTGTGCCTCTTCCCCGTGCCCTCCTTTCCACTCAGACATCCCCAAGTGTCACGACTAAAGCATTCTCTTGACTGCAAGCCTTCCTTCCATCCACCCCCCCCTTGTTCTCTGCCCCAAACACACTAGTGGGTGGCTATACCGTCGATAGCTTTCCCATAGTCATCAAGGTTCCACGCCAGTGGCTATCCATCCTCAGGGCCCGGCTGACAGCAGGCTGCCACTTAAACAGAGAGCACAGCCATTGAGGGCCCTGGAAAATGCAGAAGGAAGCCAACCTCCCATTCCAGGCACAAGTCTGGGATCCCAACTACTCTGAAGGCTGGGGCAGGAGGATTGCAAGTTCAAGGCCTGAGGGAACTTCAGTGTGAGTTTAAGGATACTCACCCAACTTAGTGAGACTGTCAAAAACAGAGGGTAAAGGTGAAGTGAGGATTCGGCTTGGAGGGAGAACACTTTCCTAGCATGCAACCTCCAGAACTATTTTGAGAAAGCACAGATGGCACACACAGAGGCACACCAGCATCCACACCAACAGCCTGATACACACAAACATGGACACACACCTAGAAATACACATACACACAGAGATACAGAACAGAAATACATACAAACAGACCCCAAGACACACCACATACATGCACACACACAGACAGGCAGAGACCCACACGGGAATACACACCGTCACACACACACTAACCCATTTGCCAGAAGAGGCGGGAACCCCAGGGCCATCCACTAAGGCCACAACCCCAGATGCTGGCAGCACAGGAAGAAAGAAGACCTCAGAACTGTGGCACTTGGGGAGGGGCAGGTCTCACAGGACCCATAGATTATTCTGTGTTTAAGAAGAAAGGCCTATTCCTGCCCAGCACTGGTCCCAGAAGAGGAGGCTTAGCACTCCCCAATGGTCTAAATACAAGCATGGTTCCCTGTGAGGCTTAGCACTCGCCAATGGTCTAAGCACAAGCATGGTTCCCTGTAACTACATCTCCAGGCAGGAAGAAAGAAGCGAGGCTGCAGGGCTTGTCTACCCCAGGTCAGTTAGAGGCATCTCCCAGACAAGTTGCAGCATCTGAATTTGAACTCAGAGCTCTGGCTTCCAGGGCTGTTGACCAGCTCTGCTTCCCACACTTCTCACCATGTTAACTCAGCACAGCTCCAGTGCATGCAAACAGAAGCTGGCAACCTGGAGAGGGGGCGCTAGGGGGAACCAGAGGCTCTGGACCCCTCATGCACTGCCCTGAAATAGGGGGCAAGCAAGGTTCTACCTTCATCTAGCCCAATTCCAGGTCTCCTCGTCTGCGTGGATGAGAGTCTTTTCTCCCTCATCTTCCCCTGTCCTGATCTACAAATTAAGGTGCCTCGTTGCTCATAAAGTTTCTCACTAATTTTTCCCATTTGATTTACTGTTGCTTTTTAATCCTTGCTCTGAATTGTTTCTAAATAAGCAACTTGAATTTAATTATTCCTTTGAAGAATGTCTCTCGAATGTGTGACCAGCTCTTAATTTTTCTTAGAGATTCTTTATCTTGTGGGGAGGGGCGGGTAAGGGATTAGATAGTATTCCCTGCTATGTAGCTCAGACTGGTCTCAAACTCTAGCTGTGTAACTCTGACTGGCCTTGAACTCACCATGTTGCCAAGGCTGACCTCGAATTCATGACAGTCCTCCTGCCTCAGCCTCCAGAGTGCTGGGATTACAAATGTGCACCACCACGCCTAGCCTTACAGATACTTAGTAAATAGGACATGAACCAGGCTTGGTTGCTTCTTTTTTTTGGTTCTACATTTTGTCATGCATCTGTGGAAACATCAGAGTATATTCCCCTCTAAGTAACAATAAACAGTAATGACATATCCGTGTGAATGTAGATGCGTGTACATGAGAGTATCATTATAAACCCTCTTTGTATTATAGAAGCCCCCCTCCAGTCTCTCCAGGGGCCTTACACACACACACATTTTTGTGTATTTAGATTTGTGTTATACTTATGTTGACCCTGACTGTACAAGACAGTCACTTGAACATTTTGTTTTGCGAACAAGGTCTTCTATGTAGCTGACTGGCCTAGAACTCCTTATGTAGATCAGAGGGCTTCAAACTGAGAGATCCGCTGCCTCTGTCTCCAAGGGCTAGGATTAAAGGCATGTGCACCACCACACCTGGCTCTCACATGGCTGCCTTCGTGCACTTCCAGTCTCTGACAGGTGACATGGACCGTGAACTGGAGAAGGTAAGGAATGCTGAGAACTTGAACTCCTTTAACCAAGGGGAAGAATCGTCCTTCTGAAAAGGACACAACCCCTAGAATATGGGTATGTGCCTTTGACTTTGGGCCTAGCCCTCCCCCTTTGTCAGCACAGGCGTCTGGCTTGGGAGGAGGGCTTGGCCAATAGTACCTGATTGGTTTCTGGTGTTCCACATCCTTGTCTGGGTCTCTTGGCTGCTTCCTGTCCCAGGGATCATTGTTTGTCACCTGCAGTCCCCTGAACTCTGGATCCCAGGTCCCCTGCTGTCCTTTGTCTGTTGCAGCCGGCCATGGTCTTGCTGCTTCCCTGAGGTGACGCAGTAACCAGGCCAACAAAGTGAGTAGAGGCATTGTGACATCAGCCGTATCCATGCCTCCCTGCCCTGAAGCTCCTGCCTTTCCTCCAGGGTTCCATTGGCTTCGGGCAGTCATTAAAGGTGACTCTTAGGGTAACCATCCCTGCCCTAGACAGAAAGCCCCAGGCAGGCACTCTGTGTAAATGACCTTTTTAGGATGTCCAGACTCAGAGAACAAGGAAGACACTGGCTTTTAATCTCACTTCCAACAAGCAGTCACTGAACCAGACCTGACTAGTTCTGACGACAGGTGAGTTCAGGAGTCCATTTCCTTTGTGCCTGGATCACCTAGAAAGCCAATAAGGATGTGAATGGCTGACTCATAGACCTGGGGTGGAAACAAAGAGGTTTTAAAAAGGTACTATGGGAGAAACTGTAGAGAGAATTTCTACCTTCAAAGACTCAGTTACTCCTCTAACCATAGTCATAATTCCGCTAAAGGTTTCTTGCTGGGACCACTCTTTCTCATCCCTTCCCATAGCTTCAGGCCTAGTCTCAGAAGAAATATGAAGCTGCCCTTCTAAGATTCAAACAAGCACTTGATTTGTCATCAAAGCAAGTGCCCGTCCTAATGAGGGTAGTCCTTCTATGTATGTGTTTATCTTATTGGTGGATGAATAAAGCACTGTTGACCAATAGGAAAGCAAGATAGGTGTGACTAGGAGTTGAGGAGGATTCTGGGAAATGGAGGAAAGGGAGTTGCCATGAGGGATGCACAAGCCTGGTGTTCTCAGTAAGATAAGACCTTATAGAAATATATATATGTATATATATATATATATATATATTAGTAGTTATGGGTTAATACTTAAGACAGTACTAGCCAATGCAAAGCCCTGGACATTGGCCAACATCACTGTAACTAATAACAGTCTCTTGTGTGTTACTTGGGGTTGACATGACACTGGGACCGGCCTCTCTTAGAATTATCAGCATTTTCCAGTGGCTGCTTCTGCATCTAAAAGCCCGTGCAGACCTATCATTGCTGTTTCCATTTCTGGGTTCTCACCTCCCCAGACTACAGTCCCTCCTCAGCTGCTGCTCGTTTGGCAGCTCCTGGGTCAGCTACACCACGGCTCACTGAGCTCCCTTTTTTGTGGATCATCATGTTCCAGTCCTATGAGTCTTCACTCTGTTTCTTTTTTTCTTTTTCTTTCTTTCTTTTTTGTTTTTGTTTGTTTGTGTTTGCTTTGCTTTGCTTTTTTGATATAGGCTTTCACTGTGTAAGATCTCTGGCTGTCCTGGAACTCCCTCTGTAGACCAGGCTGGCCTCAAACTCACAGAGATCCACCTGCCTCTGCCTCCTGAGTGCTGTGATTAAAGGTATGTGCCATCAATGCCTGTTTGTTTGTTTTTGTTCACTCAGTGTTTCTAACAAGCTCCTTTTCACAGGGTGGCAGAGGAAATACATTCTGATTAGGGAAGGGTCATGTGGAAAGGTGGGAGATTCAGAGAGGCTCAAATTTTGGGATATGGAAAACATTTATGTCAAGACAAAGATGTGAGATTTGTGTCAAGCCAGCAAGGCTGGGGAAGTCAGTGGGCATGCTTGTGTTCAAAGGTCTGGCGGAGATCAGGTTAGAAGTGCAAAGACAGGCAGGTAACTACCTTGCAATCCATAAGCTTCCTATAGAGTGAGGGGATACTCAGCTGCTTGTATCTGGGTCCAGATGTCTATATAGATACAGACCATGTAAAATGGTTCAGGGTCTAGAGGCAGACAGACCGCTGGATAGGCTAGAGCCACTCAGAGAGACACCTGCCTGTGGACATAGGACCTTAGGGGACCATGACACTCATCTGGTCTGTGTTATCCCTGCCAAGACTCTAAAGCAAGAAAATAACTCTGTAGTCTGAGATGTTTGCCTCCCACCGGCTTGCCTGGCCTTTGACTGCTGGCCCCAGGGAGATGCATTGTTCCTTCTTCTGTGGGCAGCAAATTCCTCACAAGTCAGACTCTGTGTATGTGACCTCACCACATGCTTCTACCAGCCACGAGAAGGGTCAAGCCAAGTAGGTATGCACAGTGAACTGGCCTCATCCCTGGCATCTCCAAAAGGCAGGCACTGAACGTAGCCTTTCCCCCTTCACTCCAGGCAGAAGGAATTTGTCTTCAGAGGTTCTAGAGCTTCCTCTAGACTATTCCACACCAGGAACCACCTCAACCCTTTTCTTGAACCTACCCCACATTGAAACCCAGGAAAACCCTGAGAATCTGCTGTCCTGGTTCCCACTTTACAAAATACTGAAGTTGGGGTACACAAGAGTTAGGTTGTACAGTGTCTTCATTCATTTTCTGTTGCTATAAGAAAATACTGAAAACTTGGAAACAAAGTTTATTGACTCTTGGTTCTGGAGACTAGGATGTTCACGAGCCTAACATCGACATCTGCATGGTCACTCATGAGGGACTCTCCTTGCATCATAAATGGCAAACCTATGCGATCAAGCATATAGAGAATGGTCACTCCATAGCAAACCACTCTCTTGATAGCCCTTTAACACATTAATCTGCGAGTGGACTAGTCCACTCGCAAGAGCCAGGACCCAATTACCCCACAATGACGCCATCTCCAAACACCATTGGGGGATCCAATTTCCAGTGTGTGAGTCCTAGAGAACATATTTTATTAGTAAAGGAACCAAAGTGCAAACTGCAGAATGCAAACCATGACAAGGGGACACCTTCTGGAGTAGGATGTTCCAAATAAGGGCAGGATGGGGCACAAAGCCATGAAGGGTAGAGAGGCCTTGGGGTGGAGGGGGAGGGCATGGGGAATGCTCAGGTCAAGGAAAGTTCTACACATGCTCCCCAGACATCTTTAAGCAGCAGTTTAGGGTAACATCCCCAAAATGCACAGAAGTCATGCCGAGCCCCTCCCCCACTCTACCTCTCCTCCGTGCATGTCTCTTCCACCTGCCAGGGTAGACAGCGTTTCTGTCCTGCCAGGTCCCACAGACATTTAGTCCCAAATAAACACACAGAGGCTTATATTAATTATAAACTATTTGGCAGATGGCTCAGGCTTCTTATTGTATTGCCATGAGACTGTGGCCTCCCAGCAATGCTCCAGCATGTTACTCTTTCGGCAGCTACATGGCATCTCCCTTGCGTTCCTCTTCCCAGAGTTCTCCTAGTCTGATAGCCTCAACTATACTTCCTGCCTGGCTACACTCTGGCTGTCCATTGGCCAAAACAGCTTTATTCATCAACCGATAAGAGAAACATATATTTACAGCATACAGAAGGGCATCCCCCATCAGCTCTACCCTCAAATCATTGGCCAAATGGCCTCAGATATATTTCTTTGACCTCCACACTCAAGTTATATATGAACGCAGAATAGTATCATAGGGAGAATGATTAGGTCTGAAGTTTAACTCACGGCTAACAGTCCCTTCTAGGATGTGACATGCCAGCACATGTCCTTCAGTCTTGATGTGGTTCACTCTGTGGTCCTGTAACTCTGGCTAAGTGTATCAGAGGTGGACATACAATCAAATCAAGTTGGAAAGAGGTCCTCCCTCTTCACCTTGTCTCCTTGTATCTATAGAAGAAACTCATTGCTAACATGCTGGAGTCACTGATTACCCCTCCATGGACTTTTTCACAGGTCCCTCTGCCCCTGGAACTTAGCCTCTAGAGGCCTGGATAGGTTCACATTCACTTGTTGGGACTTGAATGAAAAAGGCCCCATAGACTCAGGGAGTAGCAATATTAGGAGGTGTGGCCTTGTTGTAGGAAGTGTGTCACTGGGGGTGGGCTTTGAGGTTTCAAAAGCCCAAGCCAGGCCAAGTCTTCTCTCTCTCTCTCTCTCTCTCTCTCTCTCTCTCTCTCTCTCTCTCTCTCTCTCTCTCTCTCTCTCTCTCTCTCTGTCTCTCTCTCTGTCTCTCTCTCTCTCTCTCACACACACACACACACACACACACACACACACTTTCTCTCTTCTCTCTCTCCCCTTGGATCAGGATGTAGCTCTCAGCTCCAGTGCCATGCATGCCGCCATGCTCCTTACCACAATAATAACTGACTAAATCTCTGAAGCTGTCAGCAAACCCCCATTAAACACTTTATTTTCTAAGAGTTGCCTTGGTCATGGTGTCTTTTCACAGCAATAGAACAGTGACTAAGACAGGTAGATTGTCCCTACCCCAAAGTTTGAAATTCTCCAAAACCTGAAACACTTTTAGGGAAAACACCATGTTACAAGTAGAGAATTGGACTCATGAACTCATGAGAAAGGCTACAGTGAAAATGAAAATGCTTTGTACGGGGAGCTGGAAAGACAGCTCAGTGGTTAGGAGCACTTGCTGTTCTTGCAGAGGACCAGTGTTCAATTCCCAGCACCCTCACAGAGGTTCACCGCTGTCCTAAAACTTTATCCAAAGTTTGGAAGGTGTGGGGAAATACAATTTGTTCCTATTGATCTCCCCCACTTGTTACCTGGTTTTTTGTTTTGTTTTGTTTTGTTTTCCAGTTTAAATTTAGATAAGAAACAAGGTTGCTTCACAAGTCAGTTCCAGGTCCCTCTCCCTTTCCCTCCCCTCCTCCCGTACCCTCCCCCCAACCCCCCCCCCCGTTATCCCCTCATTCCCCCAGTGAGGGTGAGGCCCTCCATGGGGGTGTCCATAGTCTGTCATTTCATATAGGGCAGGGCCTAGACCCTTCCCCAAGAGTTCAGGGTGAGAGTGCACCTCACATTGTTCTATGGGAGTCCAAAGTTCGTGTGTATACTTGGGATGGGTACTGATCTGCTGCCCAAGGCTCAATAGATTCCCTAGGCCTCCTCACTGACACCCAGATTCAGGGGGTCTTGATCAGTCCCATGCTGGATTCCCAGGCTGATGCCTGGGATTCAAGAGTTAACCTTTGTCTGGTCAGCTGTTTCTGGGGGTTAAACCAGCCCAGTCTTAATCCCTTTGATCATCAGTCCTCCCTCTCTGTTACTG